GCAGGAGACTGTGAGTTCTAGTCCCACTTTAGGCATGAAAGCCGGCTGGGTGACTCTGGGCCAGTCACTCTCTCTCAGCCCAACCCACCTCACAGGGTTGTTGTTGTGGGGAAAATAGGAGGAGGAAGGAGTATTAGATATGTTCAGCACCTTGAGTTATTTATAAAAATAATAAAGGTGGGATTAAAAAAGAAATCTTAAAAAATGGGCAGGGTTTGCATAACATACTATGCCACCAACCTCACTCCTATTCTAACAATTAAAACTAATCAAACTTTAACAAGTTGCTAGGTCTTTAACACATCCATTATGTGACCTGGCCAGCTTCTCATGCTAAGCTATGGCTTATTTTAAAAAGTGTTTATTAAATAAACCATTATTAGCTGGGATCACACAATCAGCAAATCCATAAACCATAGTTTAAAAACCACAGTGGTTGGATTATGCAACATATTAACCCAAGCCTAAACTTGGGTTAGTATATTGCATAATCAGTTGTTTAGTGGTACTCACTAAATGGAGTCTGTTATAGAACCAAGCCAAAGGGATGCATTCAACAAGCTTTTACTGCCTTCATATTTATTAGTGTGACTTAAGATTTAGCCTTTTAAAAAATCCAAATAATTTAATAAAATGTGGACATTTGTAATGTTTAAAAAAACCCTAAATTTCATCACATGAAAATTATTTTAGCTCTCTTTGCAAAAGCTAAACCACTTGCTCAAACAGAATTTAATCTGAATAAGCCAATGTAAGTTTTGCAAGAGGATAGTAGTCTGTGAAAATAAGGATTTATTAATTATTGCCAATAAAATTTGCTCTGTTATAAAATCAGATTATGCCACTAATAGTTTACTGGGCTGCAGAAAATTGCCTTCCCACAATTTATTTTAGACCAGTAAAGAATAAGAACAGATATGATCTTCCCCAGAATCCAAAGGTCAAATAATTGATAACATGCATTTTAAAATGCTTTATTGAAATGTCAGGAGATGTGAGATGCATTTTTGTCTCTTAGGAGAAGAGTTGGCTTACAAATAAACATCTGCCTCTTTTTTTCAGGTAAGGTACTATTGCATACAAGGAGCTCTGTGTTTAGAAGGCAACATCTGGCACGGAGTAGAAGAACAGTCAGCACAGGATCCAAAATGATCCACTTGGGAGAAGTAGATGCTTCCCATTGAGGGGTGTGTGTGTGTGTGCGTGTGGCTTCAAGTCAGTGTTGACTCCTGGC